CAACAAGGCATCACTAATTTATGATTTGGAAACATACTACCCAAATCTACCCAAAGATTTTCGGACCGGTATACCATTTCCAGCGGGACAATTTAAAACGTACCATTTCTTAGACTCGCATAATTTGTACGAATATGACATGGACACCAAAAGAATCATATTTGCACAACCACTTAAAACATATCTTTTATGTCGAACAAATTTTGAGAAAAAAATGAGTAAATTTTAAAATTATTATCCTCTAACAACGTATGTTTCACATAATCATACATTAATTCATATAACATTTAAAAAAGTGAAAAATTTTGAGCAACACCTCCATAATCCTCTTCTCATGACTGAATTCAGCGCTGATATAATTATGTTTGCTTGATAAAGAAATTTCGAAACTTGCCTTTCTTGCGTAAATACGCTGATGAAGTTTAGATGAATAAACTTCATCAGGTATTTACGCAAAGAAGGCAAGTTTATGATGCGCAAATAAGATCAAATTCAAGAATTTGGTCTTAATTGTTCCATTATTGACGCCATAATTTCAGCAATTTGTCTTTTCCACCGCTAGCTACTCGGGTACCATTTGGGCTCCAATCCACAGCATAAACTTCATCACCATGTCCCGGAAGATCCATACAGAGACCACGCTTATGTATGTCCCAGACCTGAATGATTAAAGTTGTCACTATACTTTTTTGCTTTTACTTTATTATTAATCATTGTTGTAATATTATTAGCATTTATCAGAATGTCAATTGTTTATCAGATCTAACAATGCAATTGGAAATTGTAACTTAAAAAAAGAATTTCACCCAATCAATGATACCTTCTTCTGTCAAAAATTATTAAAATTATTGAAATGTTACCACAGTACTATCATCCATCGCAGAAAACTAATTTTAACTCTCGTTTCCAATATTGACATCTCACAGTTATTGAGAATGCTATGCATGAGTTCCTCAAGGGAATGCTATGCATGAGTTCCTCAAGGAAATGCTTGAGATGCTACGCAGTAATAAGAAATTCAAAATAAATGTTTTTGTATCTTCAGTATGGATGGAGATATATACGTGAACTCACATTAGTAAAGTCATTATTTTATAACGCCTTTAACCTACTTTTAACGTTGAATCTGCCGAACCAGAAACCAGTAACCGACTGTCAGCCGACCAGGCAATTTGATAAACCGCTTGGACATGTCCTCGTAACGTATCAAGAAAAACGCCCGTTCGTCCACACCACAATTTGATTGATTTATCGAATGACGCTGATGCAATGTACCGAGCATTCGGGGAAAACATTACCTGAAAAAATCTTTCAAATTTAAAAACGTTAAAGAGATTCTTTGGAATAAAATTTATACTGTGGACTGATAGTCTCATATTTCCGATCTTTGAATCAATTTTTATGCTAATTACAAGACGAATGAACCATTTTTCTCTTTGAATGAACAATTTCATTTGTTCTTTTTTTGCATGTTGATATTTCTCCTTATCTTCTCAATTCTTCCAAAACTTATTGTGTTAATTTCACCTGATTCACCAGTTGCTGATGGCCAGTCATACGCGTCCGAGGCTTCTTCTCATCGGCTGGTTTCCAGAAAAACAGCGTGAAATCATCAGATCCAGAAACTAACAATTCACCACATGTGCCTATAGCTTTTTCATACCGGTGTAAAGCTTCTTTCTGACGCATTGCCTGGAAGAAGCAAATGGACCATGATTTTTACTCAACTATCCCAGTTCACTGATTCCTTTATATACTAGATTAGTTTTGCCAGCATAGCTTAACCCAAACTTCAAACCTATAACATCAATATCAACCACTATTATGATTTCTGTCTTTTGAAAATTAAAAACATTTAATACGTCTTATCATAAAAACAGAATAGGTGAGAAAAACAGATTTTTTTGCAAAAATAAGTTTTTTTTTATTCTAATTCATAGCTTTTTTATTTTTTAGTGTTGCATAATACTATTTCAATTCACCAACCATATCATCATGCAACACTGTAGGTTGTTCCAAACCATTGTAAAAACTTGTACGTAAAGCGTATTCCACATTTAAAGCTAAAGTATTGACCCAATGCGCATGACCAGCTAAAGTACGACATAAGATACCATCCTCTGCGCGCCATACTTTAATTGTACGATCCTGAAATGAATTAATTTCAATGAAACTAATCTTATTTGTTTACGAATGGAACTGATACAAAGTGAAAATTTACGAAGTATAAATTGTGCTCAAAAAAGTATCGCGTTATAGTGTTGTAAATTACTGCAGTAGTAACCTTGCATTATCTTCTTGCTACTTTACACTTCTTTATATTAAATCTCATCTATCTTCTTTATACTTACTTGTGAACCACTGTAAATAAGTCCTTGTCCACCCCACTTTATACATGTTACTGATGCTGTATGTCCTGTCAAACACCGAACCATTTCACATTTCACAGTATCCCAAATCTTGATTTCACCGTCCTTTGCAGCACTTGCCAAATGTCTTAAAAGTAATATAAAGTTCAAGATGTTTAAACAGAAAAATGAAAAACCAAAAGCTTCTAGATGAAAAACTCTTACTTCTGAAAATCAATGAGGTATACATCGAAATTACCTGCAATGTGGATTTTTGTGGTATGGCTCCCAGGCAAGCTGATTTATCCACTGTTTGTGACTGGTCATTTTTTTACCGATTTGTGTTCCAGTTTTTGCATTCCACAAACAAATCTTAACATCATGTTTCGATTAATACATAATATATTATATACACATATGTATATGCAATACTAAAATTTCTGAAAAACGTACGTGTCCATTTTTGCAAGCCGAAGCAAGCTTCTTGCCATCTGGTGACCAAGCGATACACAGTACCCAATTTGTATGTCCTTTGGCAGTATACAACGGTGTTTCTGTATTCAAATCCCAGAAGCGCACAGTTGCATCACCCGAACCACTAGCAAGTTCCCTAAGAAATTTATAGAAATTGTATGAAATTTTTGAAAATGAGACTAAAGAATTCACAAATAGTGAAAATGGTATAGTTGACATCTCGATGTTCCAACTCCAAGATGTCTTTTTAACAATTGAAAAATTTTGATAAGAACCTTCCACTTGGGCTAAACTGCACACTAATCACTGGCTCACCATGCCCAGGTATTGAAGAGGTACATCGAGTTACTGGCCTCACACGAAACACTGCTTCGGGATAATACAGCAATTCAATGCTCTGTAATTTACGCCATATATTACTTTCAGCAAATAAAATATCATTTACTTTATTCACTTGATTATTAACTCAATTCCAGAATATCACTATTATCCATGTTCTCCAGCGAGATGATGTTGGATAACGTTTCATCTTTTAGAAATAATTTGATCGGAATTTAAAAAAAATTATTTTCGTATTTAAGTGGAGTCATCCGTGAAAGTTCTGTAACAGAGATACCTTTTCTACGTCAACTTTTTGTTGTGGTATCGAGCCTTTCAAAGAATTTTCAATCAAAATGCCATCTCTTGTTCGAAATGTTATCGGAATCGGATCGTTTGAGCTGCCCAACAACTGATTGCATAAAATCTATAACAAAATATATCAACTATGTTAATTTGATCCTTCAAAAGTCACAAAAATGAAAAACCAGATAAAAAGATTAAAAGATGTTTTTTTTCAAAAAAAAAATCACCTGCAATTGTGTAAGAGTTGTAGAAAGGGGTAGTACAATTGCAGCTTCGCTCAGTTCCTGTTCATCCTCTGAGAACATTCGTATACTGACACTGCGATCACTCTCATTAATGGAACTATGATTTTCCATTACTAAAACCACTAAAGATTAATTCTGTGGATCTTTATCTTTTTGCTCGTTCTGCTTTTGGTACTTCGATCTTCTCTTGCCTTCATTTTTACATGTTTGTATATATTTATTTTGCGCTGATTAAAGAGACATTAAAATTCAGTTTGTTCAAAACTAAACATATAATTTCATGCGCACAATATACAACCAATGTTTATTGAAATTTGTGGAATAACAACTAGAACAAAGCAAAAAAAAGATGGGAAATCAATCATCCAGATCATCTTCTTCTAACTTCGCTTTAGCCCAAGCTTCCGCTTCTTTTACTATCTAAAACAAACAAGAGCAACAAACTAGAAGACTATTCAATATGTGTATAATGAAAAACTCAGCACACTCTAATTCTTATGAGCTAACACCTCACCATAACTGACTGAGAATGAAACAGTCAGCAGAATCAGCTAACGCAAAATTATTTAATCTTAAAATCTTTCCTCTTAACATATCTATACATTGAAACTTAAAAAAATCTAATCCCTCATATGTAAGTTCTGAAATCTTAGAAAAATAATTGAAAAGAAAGTTAATAACAAAAAAATTATTTAATATGATTTAGTGTAATAAAACTAACATCTTTCGGAACAATCTCATGTTTTCCTCCAGTAATTTCGCCTACCCAACTCATTTCCACTTGTAAATTCTTATCTTTCGCTTCATCTCGCACCATTAAAATTATTCGTGCTGCTTCTGAAACAAGAAAAAGATTAATTGGACCGATTTTTACAAACTTTGTCAAAATAAGTGGACCTAAACTTGATAGCAAATTTAATGAAAAAAACTGTACATACCATTAACTAATTGCTGCATTGGAATATCTTCAAATTTCAATTTCTCAATTTCTGTTTTAGCTGCTTGTCGATGCTTACCAATTGCCCATGCCTTGTACTCATAACATAAACCTGAAGGCTCCAACAAGAATAACTGTGAACCATTCTGAAAAATTAACCTTTATTATTTCCACATCTATAAAATTCGTCGCAACTGCCAATAATCCGTTTTAAAAACTCTTTATCGTGTTACCCTCTCTAGCAACTTTCAGGATTCTTGATCTCCACGCAAACAGCATGAGAAAGAGTACCTTCATTTCCCAAGTAAAAAATCCAAATACTTGCCTTTTCATCCCAAGCAGTCAAGAATATTGAAGCTCCAAAAGGTCTACTGATACCAAGCGTATATACATGGACATATTCGGCTAACTGAAAATATGTAAGGTGCACAAAAACAAAGTAACAATTTAAGAATCGTTCTATGGATAAATGATTTACACACTATGGATACAATGAAAACCCTGACAAAAATTAGTGCAGATGATAGTGGATCCAATAATAATACAAAACTTTGAATGTAAATGCATGCAAAAACGTCTATTAAACATCTTAGTTTAAGTTTTTTAAATATGTTTGAATAGTGTCATGATATATTTTAAAAAATGAAAATGAACTCACTTGATTTGCCAGTTTTTTGATCGGAATAGGTGCACGGTACTCTTTCAAATAATTGAGTGCCTCACTTGATGCATAATCTAAAAGTGCCCTGCAATCCGGATATATGCCTGCCATTGCACAACCGATATATTCACCTGCATTTGCCATTCTTGGATTCGCATTCTAAAATAACATTAAAAAAAAGCTACCCATCAAAAGAAAAATCGCACTCATCTACATATAACTTTTAAATATATATCCATATCCCTTAAATATATAACCTTTAAAAAAGTCTCACTTTATATGGTGAATACAGCATCTTTTGCACCACTATAACAGATAGATTATTCTTCTATTCACAAATTAGTACAATACTATATCTGAAGCTACCATATCAGTAAAAATTTTAGTTTTACTAATTACAACTTTCCACATTACTAATTACTTGCTGTTGCACGTCATGGAGACTACGCAATAATTTGAAATTTTGGGAAATTTAGAAAAAAAAAACAGAAGTAAACTGAAATAAAACAAGAGCCTGAAGTATTCATACTTCAACATATAATTTCGAAGTGATTAGCTTGTCAGCTGCCGTAACAACACCATCTTTTCCTCGCATAGCAATCATTGTACCACCATTATCAACTGCTTTTTGGGCATATTCAACTGAAAAATCGAGAAAGAATACGGTCAAATAAAAATACGATAAACTTTCAATAAATATTCTAGATTCATTTTTTTATGAACTTCATATTAACATACTTCCATACCCGATCCCTAAATTTACACCAAAGCTGAATGCTGATATCTTAATCCAATTCAATCTTTCATGAATAAGTGCAATAATCGGCAATAACCAATGATTATTGCTATGATAACTTAATAAAGTTATTGCAAGTAGGATTACTTTATATGAGCAACATTATTTGGTTAAAGTAAAATATTATGATTACCAAAAGATTTATTACAATAATTTACTATATCTATTATTATTAGAACTAATTGCGAAAATAACAGTTTTTTAATATGGTGATTAATTTAACAGTACAATATTAGAGATGAAATAAAAACAAGAAATAAAAAATGATAACGGAAAGTAATATACCTTGAAAAATACGCCCATCCGGTGAGAAAGTTGCAGCAGCGAGATCATAACCAGTGCCAATTGAGCTCATCTGAAATATATCCTATATACTGAAACTATTATCATTTATTAACCCCTACATAACCAACCAACTAAACACGTCATTCCCTAGGCGTACGTCGAAACAGTGTTCGATCATCAGATAGCATAGCTTCTTCTCGTGGCGTCCATGTTCAAATTTAACGTCTCTCACTGTGCAACATCTTACGTAGCTCGTTAGTACCTATATTTACCTGTTTACTCAAATATTTACTTAATTAGTACTCGTTCATTTTATTTATTTGCTTTTTTATGCGTATTCATTTCTTGCAAGTTTTTTGTTCCTATGATTTATTTTATATGTATATATATTTAAATTATTGCATTTATATTAATGTACTTAAGTAAATCATTTATCTGTTTGCATGTGAGCATATTCGCTTGTCTATCTTTCATCAAAAAGATATTTCGAGGAATTTTTTTTAGAAGAGAAAATTTTGTGAAATTTGTAATCTCCATGATTTTAGTTATGTCTTCAATTTAATTAAGCTTAATTTATTAAAATTCATTTTTCGTTTGAATGAATCTGTAAACTAAAGTTAGTCGATTAGGTATCTTTAAAATAAAATTAGAGAATTAATTTTATTTACTTTCGAGATTTTGAAATTTCATTGGATTTCAGAATCCTTGCATGTAAAGAAAGACATAAAAATTAACAGCAGCAAAATGCAAAATTCGTGAAGACATACGAAGCTTACAATGGGTGATCTTGTACGTAATGCGTTCCGTGCCGTAAGTTCTTCTGCATCATTAGTCAGTTGGTTTTCATTTCATATCCGAAATTTATATCAGTTGTGTTGAAATCATTGTCACATGCTTTATCACAGTTTTTCCTGCGTTGCTGATGATAATGCTCTTATTCATTATCACATATCAAATGACAAATACTGCAAATATAATACAACTAATACTGTTATCATGTTATGTAATCGTTATCTATCTTGACATAAAATATTTTATAGAAGGGTATCGATGAGGAAGTGGAGCAACTAATCGCAAATGCTATAGTTCAAAGTTGGAGTGAAAATTGTTCGAAAAGCCTGCCAGTAACGGAACGGAAACTAAAAGACAAAGCTAATGTAAGAGATATTTGTTCCTGATCAAATAAAAACTAAAATAGTATGTGATGTGATGTAAAATCTATTCGAAGAATTTGTGATTATTTGATTTTCGTGTTGTTACATAATTTCAGGAACCAAATTTAGCCAAAGTTCGAATTATAGCCGAATACTTGTGGAGGCGCTTGAAACAAATTTATAACGTTCAATTACAAGCTTGGAAACAGAATGAAGAAAAAACGATAGAAGAAATGATTGCGAGACTTCGACATGAATATAGAGAAAATCTTCTATTAAAACAGAAGCAAGTTTGTATATTTTGCGGTTTCAAGTTGCTTCAAATTCTCAGATCAATGAATTGTATGATTTAATCCATTTTAAATATGAATTCAACTATCTTGATATCTGGCAAAGAATGATATGGTTTAAAAGATCGGGCTTCACTTCCATATGCTCTTTCATGGTTGCTTGCTTCTCTTCTTTGTGTGTTTAGAAAAATTAAAAAATATTTATTACATTTGCTATGATAAGTAATATAATTTAAAGATGCTCTTAGAAAAATGAGGAAATTCTTTGAGTCAAATAAATTATCCTTGCAATGAAAAATAACAAATACTGTTTGAAATAGTAAGTTTTTTAGCTGGAAGAATTGGCAGGGCGTAAAGACGATGAATACAAGAATAAGGAAGATTTTTTACGGGAAGATATTCGCGTGATTTTTGAGGTAGATAACTTTTTACTTTTAATTTGCAATAAACAATGATGAATAATTTGGCGATTTCAATAAGCTACCGGTTTTCAGAACAAAAAACTAGAATGTGAAAGGGCTTGGCGAGAGATCGAAATGGCACAAAAAGAGTTACGATTTCAGAAGGAACTGTTGGATAATGCTCGAGCGAACTTTCAGTCGTAAATTTACAGTCACTCTTAATGCTGAGAGATGCAATTTATTTTATATTGATTGAATGCTTGCCATAAATTGAATTTTATGAAAAATTAATAAATAATTCAAGCTGTTTTATGTAATTTGAGGGAGTCAGAAGGAATTACTATAAAAAGGTTAAGAAAAAAGTCTATATTTTTATATAATTTAGGAAAAAAGACAACGAACTGTGTCTTATAGAGCAAGAAAGATGTTCACTGGAGCAGATTAAGAATGGTCTGAAAATCTATGAAAAGAGTCTTGATCAAAGACTGCAGGAAGCGATCCGAAAAGCACGCGAAAAGGACAGAGCTGAAATAGCACAAATGGTATCTTTGTTTCATTTCTGATGATTCTTGCTAAAATTTTAAAATACTTTTGTATTGAAAGGAATTTAGATTTTTGAATGGAATAAAAAAGAAGCAGCATTATCAAAGAAATATGAAATAATTTGGGGTAAAATATGTGAAATTTCCAGTGGACAGCAATTTTCTGTTGAGGAAGCAGAACGTTTAAAGAAATTGCAGGTATATCTTTTATTTAAATTTCAAACCTCGTTTGATTGCTTCATGGTAACTGGAATTGAGAGTTACTTTTTTTGTTGTGTGTTCAGGCGGTGACAAGAACACTAAGCGAAGGGACACAACAATCAAAAAAATAGAAAATTCGATATTTCAGTTTTTTTGGATCTAAAGAACTAAAATACCGGATTCATTTTAATGATTTGCGATTATTCTAGAAAGAAAAATGAATGGAATGATTTCTTCCAGGAAGAAGTGACTCAACAACAGAAGAAGCTCACGGAAAATAAGCAAGTTTTATATGATGCCTTGCATAAACAACGCAAGACCAATGAAGATTTGGAACGCGTAAAAAAAAAGAACGAGAAGTTGTATGAAACGGTTCTTTAATACAAGCTTCTTCATTCATATATTGATTCTCGTTATGCAGCCAAAAGTTTTAGGCATTCTAGAGTAACAAAACGTAGGGAAAATTTAATTTGATTGAAATATTGATGTTTCTTAAAGAATTTGAACTTATTTTCTAGGGCTGTAGAATAGTTTCATTTTTTTTAAAATCGTTTTTATATGTGCAAGAAAATCAGTTCCTAAGTTAACGATAACTTAAACGCCAGTTATAAATATAGAAATAACATTTTTCACGGAGAACTTAGTCATTTTAAGCCATTTTTCATTATAAGTATTGCAAATAACGGAATGTTACAACTAAATCCCTACACGTTTCACGCATCATTTAGTTCAATTTTCAGAATCAGAAATTAATGGAAAAAGTGGAAAAACGAAATGCAACAATCAGTAGTTTAAAAAAACAATTAAAATTGCTAGAAGAATCGGCTGCCTTACGTATCAGTGAATTGAAATTTCAGCACAAATTGGCTGTAAGCAATTTTTGTACATAAAAGTCTCTTAGGTTTAAGTCTTAGTCCAATTTTTAGATTTTTTGGACAGGAATAAGTTAAATAAATAGAAGCGATTCATATTTATGCATTGCATGTATCTGCTCTCTTAAGGGTTATCGCCGTAGTTCAAAAATGATTAGACATAATGAGCTGATGTTGATGTAAGTTGAGGATTTGGCAGGTTCACAAAAATTAGAAGATGAACGGACCTTTTTCAGATAGACAAACTACAAGTGCTGAGTGCGGAACTACACAGATACTACCCCAATGCACTCGAGAAATTTAAGCAACCCCGATCCAGTTCTCATCCTACCACACCAGTAACAGCCAGGTTTTTATTTAGAGTAATCCGTTTTTAGAGTAATCCATAATTCTAGTTAATTGTTATATCAGTTTTCACCTTTCTAGGATGACAAGAATCGATTCCACTTCTTCATCAACTCTTACGGAGTCATCATTCGAGCACCATCTCCGTGATAGAATGAAAGATTTGAATTTTACAAAACAGGTGGAATATTTCCAAATTAAAAACAGTTTAAAATCTCAAATAGTAGACGACAACGAGAACATAACTTTTTTTTTCTTAAAAATTTTAGAAGCTGGATTTTGCGCTGGAGAAATTACGCGAAAGAAATCATTCGCAGCCTCTTGATTATATTCAGTCTATTTCTTTATCATGTACTGAAATCAGTAAGCTTGAAAAACCAGCGTCCAGGAATTCATCGAACCACGATGCTAAGGTATTCTTTTCTTGTTTTAATTTTTGAAGTACTCGTCCTTCTTTGTTCTATATTTTGTACTACTCGCACATGCTTTAAAAATTGTATTTGTTAGATTTATCGATTATAGCGACTTCAAAGGGATTCTTCGATTATCGAGACCAATGCCGTTCATGAGAAAATGATGGAAACAGAAAATACCGCGCATCTAAGTCTCAAGAATGTTCAGAATAGGGAAGTACATGAAACAAGTAACTCATCAGGAAATCATGTAATTGATCCATCCACGACTTGGTATATGAAAATGATTCAAGATCAAAGGGGAAAAGTGGAGCCATTTCTTGATCAGACGTCAAAGAAAGGAGATGTAATAATTTAAAATTTGAAAAAAAAAATCTAGAAATTAAAACATCTTCCATCTTTTAATAGAAAAGCTGCACAATAAGGACTGTTTTGGTTTAACACGAATCAGATTATGTTAGCTACACTATGCAAATCAAAGAAAATCGATGATTCATACAAAATAATACTTCCAGACTGAAGTGCCGGAAGAGTTATTTGTTATGGAAGCAGGTGAAGGATCGAATATGCCCAACACACCTAGTGATTTCGACTGGTAAATAAAATCGTTACTTTTCACTTAAAAATAAATATGTATATATCTCTTTATGATCTATCAGCTACTTTTTTTTCTTATTCTATTAGTAGTCTTATCATTTGCAAAATATGTCTCAAAGATGTCAGTTTATTACAAAACCAAAAAATTTGTATGAGTGCACCTTTTATTACCACACACACTAAAATGATTACAATTTAATGGATTGGAATCTTTAAAATATTATGAAATTTGACAGAGACAAATTCTTTCAGAATTTGCTTATTTTCCCTACACGAAATAATTTTCTGATATAGGAGATTATTTATTTCAATAGCAATTATTGTAGCGGTCAATTACGCTCTTTGTCAACATACAGAATTTTCGAAACAAAGAGAGCTAA